CGAGGTGGTTATAAAAGGCTTCTACCCCCCAGGAACGAGGTATGCTAACTTTCGCGCTATCTGGTTTATCTTGCCTTTGAAGGATTCTAACTTGAGCTTCGGAGCCCTTACGCCGAGTTCTCCCCGGAGCTTCTCTTCTCCTTCCGTTTCAGGTCCTTGTTACTCAGTTCAGAGACAAGATCATCGACAGCTAAGACCGGCCAGATTGTGCACCATCAGATTCTATTTGACGTAAGGGGAGGCGAAAGGGAAAACACCCTTCACTTTAATATATATATATACATATATATATATATATAACAAAGCACATTGTGGTCTATTAAACAAGCCAAATTATTCAATTTCCTTAATTGTCCTTATCTCTCAATCGCATATGTTTTCGAACTGCCCAAACCAACAGCGGTTCACGTTCACGGCTGTTTCTCAACTCTTCAATATACCAATAATACCCTTGAAAGGCAACTCATAGCTTCATACATATATGGAACCCACAACCCATAACAGATTTTGTATTAGAGGGCTATTCAGATTTTAGACAGGATTTTAGATAAATTTATCCTAAGGCTCAGTTTGGAAGGAATATAAATATAAATATGTAGAATACAAAACTATGTAATTTGTATTTTTTTGTATGTATTTATATTATATATGTAATCCTTCCAAACTGAGTCAAAAGAAAATAGGTTATATACAAGCAATTTAAATAGAGTTTGGCAAATTTTTTAGTAGTCTTCTGGATTACGATAAGCTCATAATTAAAACTGTTGCTATTTTTCCGTTTGGCAATCAAAAGCCAAAAAGCCTATAAGATGCATGTGTGGAAAAGACCATAAAAAACCAAAAATGGCAAATTTCATGTTTGAAGCTTCCTAGTCTATTTACATAATAAATAGTCTCTAAACGTCTTTTTAAAAGCTTGATACATCAAGGGATCATTTGGTAAGTCTTTTATGAAAGATCTTTTAGAAACTTTGATAGTCAAAAGACGATATGAGTTTTTGCATCAAGATCTTAATAGCTTGAAAATCGATTGGTTAAAACACGTTTTTCTGTGTTTTTTGCATAAATATGAATTGAAAAAAGGTAAAAAGTTTCATTTAGAATTTTCCGAAAATAGTCTAAAATGGGCTTCCCGCATCTTTTTTGGACTGAGGCTTTCAGTGGCTAAATCTTTTCCCAACCAAATGGGAAAAGACCAAATTATAGACTATCGGGCTTCTAAAAAACCGACAACCCACATGAAAAGGCATGCCAAACGGAACCAAAACCCTGTACCAAAGGATATTTATTTTTAATTTGTCCATTTAACTACTGAAAGATTTTCCTAAAAATACTTGCCAAATAGTAGTACCTTAACTAGTAATTTTAAGAATGAAATCCAGATCATTAAGTTAGTGACATTTGCAAAAATAAGTTGACAAGAATTATATGCCATAATTCCGTTTCCATGGTGATTAAGGCATTCTGTAAGCAAAATCTTTGCCCAAAAAGTTCTTTCTAATAAAAAGAAAAGTTTATATCAAAACCAAAATCAGATTTTGTAGAAGCCCATATGCCCATAGGAAAGGTCAAAGGTTTTCTTCATTTTTTTTTCTTAAAATTGCTATTTCTCAGTTTTTAAATGCATGTAAAATGGCTGTTAAAAGAATATTGATAATGGTAGAAAAAGAAAATATTGTTAGGAGTAATTTCCTAGAGGTTGCTCCTATCCAGTCAACTCTTTATATTCGTATAATTTTCAACTACTTACTGACAAGACAACGCAATAATAATATAATGTATTCTTCAATTGAACATCATTTTCCAAACAAATAACTCGCATTCGTTCCTTTTACTTGCAACCGAAGGCAGGCTAAGCAGCTAGCCAGCTGGACTGTATTGAACTATGTCATAAGTCATAACTCGTAAGAATCAAGAAGGGCATCAAGTCGTAATTTTAGCAAAGAACCAGGATATTTTCGTTGTTAATTGAGTCCTGTGAAAATATAAATAATATAATCCTCGGAGAAACTGCTAACTGCTGTTCTGAAGTCTGAACTCTATAAAAGCATTTTCTTGTGTACTTTCGAGAGTACAGAAGAGAGGAGATGGACTACGGAGGAACGTCCAACTTGCAGACTGGATTTCCTCTCCTTGTCCAGCAATTCAGAGCTCTGCTAAAGAAGAATCTCCTTCTTTCATGGAGGAATAGAAGAGCTACCTTTCTGCAGCTTTTCTCTTCCTTGTTCTTCATCTTTCTCATTTTCTGCATCGATAAGGCCATTCATGCTCGTTTCTCTACGACCACCTCTTATAAGAACGTCTACGATCCGGAGCCCGTGATCTCTCCTCCAATTCCTCCGTGCGAGGACAAGTTCTACGTTAAACTCCCATGCTTCGATTTCGTCTGGAGTGGGAATGGAAGTGTGAAAATTCAGTCAATTGTACGGAGGATCATGGCGAATAATCCAGGAAGACCGATTCCATCCAGTAAGGTATTTTGGGAGCAAAATCCGGCATTCTTAGGCTTTTAGGTTTTCTCTATTATGAAAATGAACGCAATAAGTGAAATTCTGGTTCAAGATTGTTCTTTTTCTTTTTATTTGTCTCGCTGATTATTCGCTAACTTGATGCATGAGATAACAATTGGTCAAACACTGGAATGTACTATACGTTTAATCGATATGACTTCTTATATTATTCATTTCTTTGTTGAATTTTGTTATGTTTCTGTAAATTATTACTTTTACATTTTTACTTATATAAATTTGGATGGGAAATACTCGAAGGATTTAGAGATGGTTGTGCAACTTCATTTTCTACTACTTTTTATTGTGCATTTTATGGATTTTGACAAATAAAATTCTGTCTAGAAACAGATGCATGCTACAGTCTCAAATATTAGATGTATTTTGCTGAAACTCGTGATGGATGCAAATGACTTGAAGCCTTGAACCTCCATTTTACAGGCTCTTTTTTTAACTGGGTTTTTCAGTATAGAGATCAGGGAGAATAATTGGTCTATTGTACTTGTTGAAAGAAAGATCTAAGTAGTTTTCTGCGTCAAAACATTGGCTTGCTCTGACTTTCCATTCAACAAAGATATGCAAGTGTTTCATCTATCTTTGAAGTTTCTCACCCGAGGAGTTCATCTTAATAATTCATTTAGAATACAGCCTTAGTATAATTCACAAGTAAAAGAACATAAAAGCATACCTTATGCACCTTTTTGTACAGGTTAAATCCTTCGGGACAGCTGATGAAGTGGATGATTGGCTTTTCAATAATCCTATGCATTGTCCTGGAGCTCTACATTTTGCTGAAAGAAATGAAACTGTAATCAGCTATGGAATTCAAACTAACTCAACTCCACTAGCCAAGAGGGGACACTTTGAGGACCCCACTTTTAAGTTTCAAATTCCACTTCAAATTGCTGCAGAGCGTGAAATTGCTCGGTTCCTGATTGAAGGTACCTGTTCTGTAATCTTCTACATTGTTTTTCCTTCTATGAGAAATGACTTAATAGCATCCCCCCCCCCCCACTATTTCTTTTTTTACTAAAATCTACAACTTATTTGGACAAAATTCATTCATGTACAGATCCAAATTTTAGTTGGGTTGTGGGGCTTAAGGAATTTGCACACCCTGCCATAGAAATCTTCTCTGCTGTAGGGACAGTGGGACCAACATTTTTTCTTGCAATTGCCATGTTTGGTTTTGTCTTCCAAATTAGTTCTTTGCTAACAGAGAAAGAACTCAAACTCCGCCAGGTATCGGCTACTGCTCAGGGTTTTTGTTTTAATCAAAAGAATCACCATTGTGGCCCTTTTCAGATCACTGTTTTCTGTTACCATTATGTGAAAACCTGCAGGCAATGTCTATAATGGGTCTCTATGAATCTGCCTATTGGTTGTCATGGTTCACTTGGGAGGCCTTGATTGCAGTTCTTTCATCACTTTTCACAGTTCTCTTTGGAATGATGTTTCAATTTGACTTTTTCTTGCATAACAGTTTTGCAATTGTGTTCCTTCTGTTCTTGCTTTTCCAAGTCAATATGGTGAGTTTTCTCTATGCCTCCTTAATTCTGGACAAAAGTGCTACTACCAATCACGGAAACCCAATTTATAAATATTTGGGATTAACTCCTCTCTTTGATGCTAGATTGGTTTTGCCTTCATGGTATCAACTTTCATTAGCAAGTCATCATCATCCACAACTGTGGGATTTTCTGTATTTATAATTGGATTTCTGACACAGGTAAAATCCTCCCTATAAAGTTTCAGGAAATGGATTCATGCAGTCTGTAACGGATTTTCTTTGATTCTTGCAGCTAGTAACAACATTTGGATTTCCCTACAGCAGTGATTACTCTAGAAAATATCGAATCATCTGGTCCCTGTTCCCTCCTAACCTTCTTGCTGAAGCTCTTAATATTCTCTCAGATGCAACAGCTACTCCTCAAGATGATGGGATCAGCTGGAGCAGACGGGCTAATTGTCCCCCCAAGGATTCAGAGTGTGTGATAACTATTGTATGTATATACTTTAAAGCTTAGCATTTAAGATTACAATTTAGGAGATCCATACAGTCCATCAGGCACCAACATTTTGAATTAGATATTTACAATAATACATGATTTTGACAGGATGACATATATAAATGGCTCATCTCAACATTCTTTGTGTGGTTCCTTTTGGCTATCTACTTTGACAATATTATCCCCAACTCATCAGGTGTGAGAAAATCGTTGTTTTACTTTTTGAAGCCCGGGTACTGGACAGGAAAAGGTGGAAACAAAGCGGAAGGTAATTGAATACCTGCAATTACCATTTTTAAAATTCGTGACTTGTCCCAGTTGACTGTAATTTATGACCAGCTTTTCCATTCCTTGTATTCCAGAAGGTGGAGTGTGTAGTTGCACCGGTTCAATTCCAGAGCTGGAGAACATCACTCCAGATGATGAAGACGTTCTTCAAGAGCAAACCGGTGTAAAACAACAAGTCAATGAAGGTGCAGTTGATCCAAATGTTGCAGTCCAAATACGTGGTCTAGCAAAGACATATCCTGGGACTACAAATATTGGTTGCTGCAGATGCAAGAGAACTTCTCCTTACCATGCTCTTAGGGTAAACGACCATTTTACCTTCAAATATCAAAGTGTTAATGGCCTGGGGTGAGGGCGGGAAGAAGTCATTCATCTTGCTTCTTTTACTGTACACAATCCATACATGTGGGTGTGTCAAGACCAACACCCATCAAGGAGATCTCGATATCCACAAATTACTTGATTGGATAAATTAGTGACTTGATATTATACTGTTTTTCTTCTTGAAGACTGAAGCTTTGTCTTTTTCTACAATAAACTTGGTTTATCATATGGTTACTATAATCTATTCCAGTAGATTCTTGGGTTATGAGGTCTCTATGTGAGCCTTATCTTGCAGATTACTATACCTTGTGTGACCATGTCTCCCCATGGATGTTGGTTTTAAGGTTGCTGATAAATTTTTAAATTTATCATCAGGGCTTATGGGTGAACTTCCCAAAGGATCAACTATTTTGTCTTCTTGGACCCAATGGAGCTGGCAAAACAACTGTCATTAATTGTTTAACTGGCATTACACCAGTGACAGGGGGAGATGGTAATAAATTCTTCTTCAGGTCCTTAGACTCATCAATTGCAAGTTGATCTTGATATAGTTGTGGCATCTCAATTACTCTATAACTGATTTGTTTACAGCACTGATATATGGATATTCCATTCGAAGTTCCATTGGTATGTCAAGCATTCGAAGAATAATAGGAGTTTGTCCTCAGGTGCCCTGTTTTCTAAGAACGAAATCTAGCTGACCATAATTCGGACTTTGCACCATGATTTGTTTGGAAGTGAAGAACTAATTTTTGTTTCTTTTTATATTGGTATATAGTTCGATATTCTCTGGGATGCCTTAACTGGTCAAGAGCACCTCCACCTCTTTGCTAGTATTAAAGGCCTTCCTCCTGCTTCAATCAAATCGGTATGTTGCATTAAAGAACGGAAAAGTTTCTTTACCACATTCATATATATCATCAAAATGTTTAAGGTCCCAGATTAGTATCATTTTCTTTTCTTCCATGCTGTTCCACACACAATGATTCTTCTGGAAAAGCAGGTTACCAAGAAATCATTAGAGGAGGTGAAACTCACTGAGGCAGCCAAAATGAGAGCCGGGAGCTATAGTGGAGGGATGAAGCGCCGCTTAAGTGTAGCAATAGCACTTATTGGTGATCCAAAATTGGTCATCTTGGATGAGCCAGTAAGATTAATGGAGAATACTCCTAAATCTGTAGGTTCTCTTGTGCAATGCATGTAACCTCCTTTAATATTGCAGACTACTGGTATGGATCCAATCACTCGGAGGCATGTATGGGACATCATTGAAGATGCAAAGAAAGGCCGAGCTATAGTCCTAACAACTCACTCAATGGAGGAAGCTGACATTTTAAGTGACCGCATAGCAATCATGGCAAAGGGGAAGCTCCGTTGCATTGGAACCTCGATCAGGTTGAAGTCAAAGTTTGGAACTGGCTTTATTGCTAATGTAAGCTTCCTTGGAAGCACTCCTGGGCAGACTCCTAATGTTAATGGCGATGCATTTGCTACAACTGAACCTTACCGTCAAGCTGTGAAGCAGTTTTTCAAAAATGTACGTTGGATGAATAAAGCTCCTAAATCTTCTCATTCCAAAAAGATTCTGTATCTAACTTGTGGGATGTATTTGACAGCATTTAGATGTCATGCCTAAAGAGGAGAACAAGGCCTTCCTGACTTGTGTTATTCCTCATGAAAAGGAGGGGTTGTTGACGGTAAATACCTTTTTCTTGTTTTTTGTTTCTTGCTGTATCTTAGCTTTCACGGATCATAGGGGTTTTGAGTGTTGTATCACAAGGCAATCAGGTCGCATAATGTATGACACCCTCACAGTCAAAATATATGTAGATAGGAATATCTCAGTTCTTTGATTTTCACCGTCCTCCTATGTATTCTTATTATATTCTACTAGTAAATGATCTGATAAATAGCAAAATCATTTTATGTTTGCCCTAGGCCATCCCTTTTATCACATTCATGTTGCTGAAACTGTTTTCTTTTAAAAAAGTTTAAAAGTTATAAAACTTTTGGGCATCTTTCTTCAATAAATCATATAATGCACCTAGCATCAGAGCTTTATATTGACATTGTGAATGCCAACAGTAATTTCAGCATTAAACATTAATGTCTTAGTTTCTATTCTTGCTATGATAATCTTATGCAGAAATTCTTTGCGGAACTTCAAGATAGGGAAAGAGAGTTTGGCATATCAGATATCCAACTTGGACTAACAACTCTGGAAGAAGTGTTTCTGAACATTGCAAAGCAGGCAGAGCTAGAAAATTCTGCAGCTGAAGGGAGCTTAGTAACTTTAACTTTGACATCAGGAACCTCAGTTCTAGTAAGTTTAATTAATTTATATGGTTATTCAATGCAGAAAATGACATAATTTTGCATCCGCGATCAGTTGATAATATTTCAGCAACTGGTATGGTGACTGATTTGTTTTAACTTGAGGACTTTTATGATGGTAATTTTGCAGATACCTGTAGGAGCCAAGTTTATTGGGATTCCAGGAACAGAATCCCAAGAAAATCCAAGGGGTCTTATGGTTGAAGTATACTGGTCACAAGATGATGCAGGCTCCCTCTGCATTTCAGGTCATTCACCTGAAACGCCAATACCCCCGAATGTTCACCCAATGGCTTCTTCTGCAGCAACTCCTCGCAGAACATTCTTAGGCAGGAAACCAGCAGTACAGGGATTAGTAATTGATCCTCATCAAATTGAAAATACAAATTAGTACTGATTTTATAAAGTAAAATTGCACAATTTTTCGTGAAGCCGTCTTGTATCATATAGAACTCGTCAATGATATCATACCTTTTTGTTTCATATTAGTTCTTTACAATTTTCTTTTACCTTTCTTATAGACTCTGTTTGGATGGGGTGGAAAACCAAATTCCAGAAATTGCCTGGTTTCCATGGAAAATGACATTTTCATTGTGTTTCATATGCAAGAAGCAGAAGTCGACCAAGGACCCGGTCCACCAATATTACCGAATGGTATTTACTAATTGATAATTACTTTAGTTTAGGGAGAATGACGATTCATCCCAGGGTCAGAATTTTTAGGCCCAAATTACAGTTGGGGAGGTGCCAACTAGGCATTGATATCAATTCATGGGTGGGCATTGGTGCATAGAGTAGGGGTATTTGACATTTTGAATGTTTACAGGTCTGCAGTGAAATTCAGAAATCTGCAATGGACTTATCATTCTTACTTTTCCATTTAGTTTATTGCATTTATAATTTTTTCACGTGGATAATCAAGAGTCAAGACATAGTTAGGGCTTCTAAAAAAAGACACTGTGTTTGGTGTACTTTATTTGTTTATAAAACCGAGAAAATTAATAATTACTAATTGTTTATGACAATTAGACACCGCATTATCATAACAGTGAAAATGTGCCTAATCATTTGAGGATGTTTTAAAAAATAACTTCTCCAAACGATAGACATGCATAGAAATCGAAGTCACATTTTACTATTCTCAATACGTACAAAAGAGTATGAGAGGAAAACTGCTAAAGTAATGCCTATATAACAACATTTATTAAATAAACGTCCACGATTCTAAACACCCCAGTGGTTAAGAATTAGGATTCAACAAAACCACGAAAACAAGAAAAGCAAAAATTACAATTTAGCGAACAAAGATGTTTTCTAGTGTCTACTCTTCCCTGATGGAACACCACACGACATGGCCGCAGTTCCAAATAACCAAGAGTGAAATTACCAACGACTGCCTCAGTCACATATCGCTGCCTCTTTTTTATTTTATTTTTTTCATATTTGTTGTCGTCAGGTCAAACAGCATTTAAAATGATGCAGCTAAAAATAATTACTCTTGTTGATACAACAAATACACAGTATATAATCAGCTTTTACTGTTTAACAACATATTTTCACCATTTTCTTCCTCTATACTTAAGATGCTTTAATTGAAGAGAAAGTAGATTCAAGGAAGCATTCAGCCCCGCCCCATCAATGTTCATCAGTAAGCACACAACTAAAAGCAGTACAGGCAGGTTAAATGACTGCCATACTAAAAAGATCACTCGAACCCAAAACCTCAATATTTGTCATTTGCACATCCTTATCTGCAACAATGACTTAAAGTCTGATCTAGCTTGGCCCTGAGCCCCAATCATGGAATGAACAGCTTAATGAAATCCATAGCTGTTTCAGTTTCAGGAACGGGCCATCTGTCGTTCAAACCGGATGATCGAACTGTTGATTTGAAAACAGGTGGCCTAAGCAGTTTCAGTTTCAGGTCGATTTTTAAAATCTTATATAGGTGTTCCAGAACATGTAGACATGGGAAAAGAATGCTAGAAGAGAAGATAATGCGAGAGAGAGGTATTTGAGTTCCAAGTTTCATCAAAAACTTGAAACGAAAAATAACTTTTTGATTGAGAGGAATGCAATGAGAAGTTGTAGACGGTTTTAGTATCTGGAGTTAAAACATGAATAAAGAATTATTTTATTTTATTTTATTTTATTATTATTATTATTTTTTTTGAGGGGAGGGGGGGGGGGGCGCATTAATTTGGGCAATTTGGGTAATTTGGGTATCATCGCTCGGAACTGAGTAAACACCATAACCCATAGGAAGGTCTACCTCGCAAGAGTCCTAACTATCCTGCGTAGCTTATGGGACTAACGTAACGATTCCTTATCCAGAGGAAAATTGCCTAATCCTCTAAACGTTTGCTCTAGAGCAAATCAATACTTTCCACTCAACACCCAACTGATGGATCTATCACCAACGAACTTAACAATGATTCAACAATCTTGGCAGTGGTTTCAAAACCATTTGCAAAACTTTGTGATAGTTGATGGAGCCTGAGAAACTCGCACACACATTGCTGCATCGGGTCTTTATCTATCATCTTAATGTTTGTTTTTCTTTATATAAATTTTTACGCTTTTTTCTTTTAATAATTTATTACTTTTTTCATAATTCGAATTGGATAGAATTGTGTTTGTTTAGATATCCGACATCCTTAATATATTCAGACTCGAATCACTATTTGTGAGGTCCGATCAAACCTTCAGATCAACTTAGATTCGGATATGCCCTAATTTGAATCCAATCCGATCCATTTGCATCTCTCATTCTTAATGGATGAAAACAAGACAAGGTGCAATTTTAAATCAAATTAAAATACAAATAAGAGTTAAAGGGGATGTTTGGAACCGTGGCTGTTTTTCAAAAAAACAGTGTCATGTCGGATCCACATAGGCATTTCAACAAACGCCCATATATCTCATTGTTTGGTTCAGCTGATTATTAAAAAATCGGGCATGCCTTGAAAATCGGGACCCCACTGATGCATGAAACGCCAAATTCATGCATTGGTGAACCGTTTCCCCCAACGGTTGACTGATGTGTATCCTATGTGGTGCTTACCTATCAGCACATACATGAAAAACGGTGATGAAAATTACCTTACCAAATAGCAGTGTTGCTCACTGCCTACGTGGCAAAAGCGTTTTTTTTTTTTTTGTGAAAAACGGGTCTTAGAAGCATGAACGTTTTTTCTTAAAAATCGGTCCCAAAAAGCACCCACACTTCCAAACACCATGAAAAACAAACATAAGCAATTCTAAACTACACTCGGTTCAGATTTGCACTAAAAAAAATAGCGCCTGAAAGTTAAACAAGGCAATCACAGGCTATTTATCAACTTTCAAGCAGTAATCAAGAAATGGCTTTGAAACCCAACCTGATGAATAACCATTTTCTCCTCTTGGTGGCAACCTAAAGGTCCAACCATCCAGGTTAAACGACTCAGCTGACATAGTTTAACAGCCCTATGATTAAGATGTAAATAATAAATGGGAAAACTCCCGATTAGTACCTGTACGTTGGGCTTAATGCCATTTTGGTCTCTGAACTTAAATGCCACAATTCAGTATCTGAACTTTCAAAACATGTCAATTAATACTTACCGTTAACTAGTTGTTAACCAATCGTTAAGTGACATTTGAAAAAGACATAAATACCCTTCAAGTATCATCTAATTTTTTTATCAACCATCCAAACGTTGACAAAAAAATTAACAATCCCAAATCCTTGCTTCTTCTATTCAAGAAAGTTGGGGGCACATCTCCGTAGGCATTTTGGACCCCAACTTTCTTGAATAAAAGAGAAAAGGATTTAGGACTGTTAATTTTTTGTCAATGTTTGGATAGTTGATAAAGAAAATTAAATGACACTCAAAGGGCATTTATGTCTTTTTCAAAGGCATTTAACGGCTGGTTAATGATAAATAATGGATTGGCGAATTTTGAAAGTTCAAATACTGAATTATCGTATTTTAAAATTTGAGAACCAAAGTAGCACTAGGCCCAAAGTACAGACTACTAGGAAAAATCTCATCAATTAGATAAGACTGAAACCCTAAATAAAATTTTAAAAATAGGGGAAAAGAAGAGATAGAGAGAGATTTGACTTGTCAATGTTGCGTGGACTAATAAGGCTTTTTTTTTTTTGATACATGGGGAGAGAAAAGTTAGATAAACTAGCAAAGCTATCTAAACAATCCAAAAACACAATGAAATCTAAATCAAGATGGAAAGAAACGTCAGTTGAGATGTTTCTCAGGTGTCCGTTCGCCAGTCAATCAGCCGCTTGGTTGCCTTCTTTGTGAATGTGCGTGTACGTGACTTTGGAGGCCTCCTCTCGCCATTCCTCTAAGATCAGTTGACACCTCCACATTGTTGATGAGGTTTCGTTAAAAGGCTTCAACTGTTGCTTTTGAATCTCCTTCGATAATTACTTGACTAGCTCCAATACTCCCTTCACTCAGCTTTAGTATTCTTCCATTGGCATCCCTTGCAATGCACTCATAGACCTCTTGGGGCATCAAAATTAATCTTGTTACTATTCAATTAGCGTTTAAAACATATTAAAGGCATTCATTCCTTTTCACAAGAGTTTCTCATTCATAAATATTTAGTTTTATCAGGTTTTTTTTTTTTTCTAAGTCATACTTGGTAGAAATACAAGCTGACTAGATGTTTAAAGTGGTTTGATAAATTATTATAATATATTTATAATGACAACTTATGATATCTCAAAAAAGGTGTAAGTTTTTTCAAATTTTCATATTTCATATCACTTTAATGGGTGTTTGACATTAGAGCGTTTTACACAAGTGGGTTCTAATTCATAAGTATTTCCTTTCACCTTTTTTTTTTGAAAATTACTAAAAAAAAATTAAAATACAAGCTGATTGGGCATTTAAAGTGATTTGACTTAATATTATAATGAATTCGACTATGATATAGAAAATATATAATATCTGAAAAACATCTAACTAATAAACTAAAATTATAAATATAGTAGTCAATCGGGTGTTATTTATCAAAATTCATAAATGGGTTTTAATTAGTCAAAATTCTTTGGATACCGTATCTTCCTTGCATTATAGATTTTCTCTATTATAATATATTTTATAATAACAACTGTATGATATCTCAAAAAAGTAATCAACTTTTTAAAATTTCAATGTATCATGTGAACATGTCACCAAGATCACGAAGGCAAATAAAAAAAACATCAATTTGATGTTTCAAAAAACCCAAACGTCAATTTGATGTTTCAAAAAACCCTCCTTTCCCGAATTCCAAAACTAATCATTATAAAAACATTGTTTAAAAATCAGGATTGTCAAATGCGGATGTGGTACTCGTGACACAAGCAGAAACTAAATGATTGTAAAAAGCTCTAGTGCCAAATCCGAAAGATTATCACTGTAGCGGCAACGTTTTCTTTTTAATGTTGTGTCAGCTATGATATTTTAGCTTTTTTATGGCATGGCAAACTTATGAATTGAAACGAAACTCTCCGGTGCCAAACACCCTCCAAGTCATGTGGAGAGAACCTGTGGACGTATGGACAGAACAGGCTGTCCACCGTGGAGAGACAGTTTGAGGAAGAAGAATAGGAAGAAAAATGGTTATACCCGTGGTTTTCAAAACCGGACCAGACCGGAAAAATCGGTAACCGGTCAGCCCCCGGGTCCAGTTTTACTAAAAACTGGAAATTTTTAAAAACCGTTAAAAAAGTCAGAAAATCACTAACCCGAGCGATCAGACCGTTAAACCATTCGACCTGGGCAGCGGTTCGCGGGTTATTCTTTATATTTTCAATGTTTTAAATAAAAAAATAAAACAAAAAAAAAACCTTCTCCCCAACCCAGTCGAATGTTTGGTCCCTTTAACTTTAGGGTTTCCTGAGTTCCCTCCTCTAAACCCTCACACCCTACAGACCACCTGTGGCGGCCGGCACCTCCGGCGTTCGACGGCGACATACACTAACCGACGACGGCGAAATTGCAAGCAGTGGGCAGCACTTGCAGGCAGTAGTAAGAGTTGGTGGGCCTTGCGGCAGCTAGCACTTGCAACGCGCGGACGGCTAGCTTTCCTAAGACCAAGTTTGCAGCGACGGGTGAGGGTTTCTAGTGGCAGTAACAATTGCAGCCACTTGCAACGGCAATCACCTGCGACAATCAACAGGGATCTTGGGTCCTCTAAGCAGCATTCTAGAGATGTATATGGAAGAGTTCAACAACACCATGCTCACCAATGTGCGAGGGGTGGCATCGACGATTAAACACGCAAATCGGGCTATGGTGGAGAGAAAGATATGCGGCTCGATCGTCTACACTGAAACTGTGGCAGCAGCCTTGGGTGGCTCTGCTCCTCGTACATACACCACTTCTAAGCACGCATTGGTGGGGCCGGTCCGGTCAGCCTGTACTGAGCTGGGGGCCCATGGCATCAGGGTCAATTGCATCTCCCCTTTTAGAGTCGTTACCCCATTGGCCTGCAACTTGAAGGGCACTGTGTTAAAGCCCGTCCAGAGGCTGCTCTGTTTCTTGCTTCAGACGAAGTAGATGGAGGATTCACAGTGGTTAGTCGTAGCTATTCCACCATCCGATGAGAGAGAGAGAGATTTACTGTTGAAGTTTTATAGTTTTATTTTTCTGTTTTTTTCAGTTTTTTTTTTATTTTGTGTTTTTTCTGTATTTTTAAAAAAAAATCCGTACTTTATTTTTGTAGTTTTTATGTATTTTGCACTGTGTTATTTTTTATTTAGATAGTTTTATTTTTTGTATTTTAGTGTATATTTCTGTTTTTTATTTAATTTTATACTATTTTTTATTATTTATAAATATATTTTTTAATTTTTAATTTATTTATGATGTCACAGGTTGAGCCATTCAACCCGGACGGTTGAACCGCTTAACCAGAAACCAATCCCCTGACCGGTTCTATTTCCGGTTCGTTTTTTAAAACCTTGGTTATACCTGTCAACTGGAAAACTGAAAAATAGGATCATTTTTCTTTTTTAAATACCTCTGAAGTATTAAAATCAAATCAAATCAATTTGAAACATGATTCATGAACGGTTTGAGCGATTTAACGGTTTTACCATCTGGATCGATGGTTTTTGTTTTTTTTTTCAGACATACCAGGTTTGGGCTCCCCCAGGTGACTGATCAAACCGGCTGGGTCAATGATGGGTTGCAAGCATTGTTCGAAAACCCAAACACGGCATCCATATATTCAATTGGGATAGAAAATTAACCAAAAAACATTTTTTTTTAAGCCAAACAAAAAGCTATTTGGCATATATATGTCCAACATAACACGTACAAATAGTTAAAGCTAAGGATTGAAGAAGCAAATAATTTTCAACTGTCAATTAGGTTTATATGACACGCGTTCAAAGGCATTCGAAGTCAGCACTACTATTACATTAAGTGAAAAAAAAAAGGTTTAAAAAATGAAGCACAATGAGGCCTAAATGAAACCAAACCATAAACTGAAGCCTGTAACTATACACACTCGAGACACCCCAATACCATGGCAAATAAGGAGATGCTTTTAACACCACAAACCTGTTATTCACCTACTCCACTTCAAAGTTTACAACAGAATTGTACACCATAGGAATAAAAAGGAAGAATAATAGATAGTCACCTCTCCATGAGGCCATAACTCTCCCAGAACCATTACCTTCTCCATTCTGCTTGGACGATTCTCTCTGCAACACAAACCACATACACGATATAAGTACCAAACTTGCAGGGAAAAGAAAAAAACCAATATATATATATATATGAAGAAAAAGGTCAAGCAATTTATGAGAAACAACAGAGAAAACAAGCTTTTCAAATTCAATGCAACATCTGACCAATCTAACATCAAAGGCAGCAGGGAGTGAGAAATCCAGGGTAAAAAACCATGGGTCAGCAGATAGAACAGCTGAAAATCAACCATTGATTGGGACTTCTACATAAACAAAAGGCTTTGATCTTCCACAGAAGTGTGTAATGCAGAACCAAAACAAGGACCGTGGAGGAAAATGTAAAAGAAGAAAAGAATTCCGAGACAGATAGTCTTACCATTGCCATCTCTAGAAGAAAATAATGATTTATCACTTCTAATTCCCCCTTTTCCACTTGTTTGAACCAATCTCTGTGTCCGTGGTGACACTGAGATCAACTTGCCATTTGTGGAAGATGGTAGAGAATGGCGCCTAGTAAAACCATTCTTATCAGCCCCATCATGGCTGAACCTTGGGGAGCTTTGTGTCCTGAGCTTTGCCTTTGCAGATTCAGTTGTTGCCATATAACTTGGCAAAGATGGAGTGTTTGGTAAGCCATTCTCTGGGTATTCCTGCTTTACTGGAAAAGAGGCTCTCCGCCTGCTAGTTTTCTGCTTCTCATTGCTAGTTGTATCTTCTTTAAAAGTTGACTCCCCGTTTGTCACAGGAACGTTCTCATCTTTTACATTGCTCTGCAAGGGTAACTCAATTACAGGATGATCATCAATTAGCACATTATTAGCTAATCCATCTGGTGTCACTGGTTTTGGAGATGTTTCTACATCTAGCTGTTTGGACACTGCAACTGTTGCATCTTTATTTGTTTTCTCAGCACAATCACTTGTGTCCTGTTCTGAAACATTAGGAGCTGGAGAGATCGGTGCCTTTCTCAAACTGCGTTTTGGCTTTTCATTCTCAACCTCTACACAATCAGAGACTTCCAGTATAGAGTTAGAAACCTTTCTTAAATTACGTTTAACCTTCTCAAGTTCATTTTGTGGGTGTTCCTGCACTGAATCTACTGGGTGGCTTGTAACTTTCCTCAAATTGCGTTTAGGTTTCTCAGACTCAGAGGTAGAATTGATTGAACCATTGTCAACGTTTGCTGAACTAAACCTCCGTACACTGCGCTTTGGCTTTCCTAGTTCAGTTTCTACAGTTTGAGTGTTCCCTTGCTTTGCCTGAGACTTTGAATCAGTGACCACCTTCGGTTGTGGCAGTGGTATCCAGAAACGAGAGGATGTCCAACGATGAAGCCAGCTCCAGGCTGAATTAGGTTCTTCCAAATCATACTGAATGCATAGAGGCATCACAGCAGATGATGAAGAAAGAAGCTAGATAAAAAAAAAAAAGGCAATTCAATTCATACCCTTCAACAATGAGAAAGCATAATGGACAAAAATCAGTGGAAATGGTAACCAAATCTAACCATATCATGTGTTTTCTATGTTCAATAGAACAAGAAGATTTGTGGTACAATAATTGCAAGTTGTCAATGTTAAATAAAAGACAACTAAGACAAGATACAATAATGAGATGAGGCTACTCTCCACTCATTGCAGCACCGGATGAATGGGAGATGAATCAATTCCAGATGAAAATCTACCACATTAGAAAAATTATAATCATCCAATCAGAATACATTGTCAGAGAGGTTTCTGGCTGTGCATCCTTATGCACCAAATCAGATGCAACTGTAAACAAGTTGGTCATTTTTTTACCTTTTCAACATACAATCTCATAGACTAAAATCTATGGCAGAAAATGAAGGTCAGACCACCAAAACTACTTGTTTGATGGAACAAGAAACAGGATTGAAAGATGAGTTATTTCATCCATGCATCCATCCTTAAAAGCAGAAATATGGCCACCAAAATCTATATTTTTGGGTAACAACATTTCCCAGGATGGACCAGTCTCTGCTCCCTAGACAGAAACAGGATCACGAGAACCAATAGGCGTCTATAGAAAATCATTGTACCTCAGTAACTCAATAGAAAACAGTTTGGATTGTCTCACTTCAGACCACATGTAGAAGAACCAAATTTAATGCAATGCACCCAAACTTACCTTACAAACAAAGGCATTTACTGATGGCTTCTCTGTCCATCCAAAAGAACCTGACCACTTGGCATCCTGATAGAAGAAATAGACATGTTATACAGCTATAAGTGGTGGAATTGACTAACCATTTTGTGTGCCTCTCCATTAAGTTTAAGTGTTTATATACAAAGAAAACCAAATAGGAGCAAATGAACCATTTAACCAAAAAATGGTCACATTTATAAACAACATTTTTTCACATGCTTTCAGATTGCAATCAGTAAAAGAGAGGAATGTCCACTTGTAAATACAACCCTAAGGCTAGGTGAAAAAGATGGGAAAATATGGATAATGAATCAGAATGATTACTTCTCAGTAAAGTCATTTTGCACAGCCCTTGTGAGAAACACACAACTTGTTTCCTTGAAAATAGATTTGGGATTCAAATGAACCACTGCAAGTCTCATTCCTCGTATGGACTACTTTCCTAGACAAGATCTCAACAACTGGCCACCTTATATCATGGGGACAGGACATGGAAAATAAATGTGCCCCATGCAATGTAATGGAGTCTGTCTCTCATTTATTGATTAATTTCCTTTTCTTAAATGAGATTTGGGTCCATTATATCACCATGTTCCAAAAGCAGTGGGTTACCCCCAAGGACTTCAGCCCTAGTGTCATCTCATCCAGTGAGGGATCACAGCCCTAGAGAATGTATCTTGAGGAACACATTTCCTTTATCAGTTGGCTGAAGCATGTGGAAAGGGAGGAACATGCATTTTTTTTATAGAAAAGTTGTCCACTAAATGTGGTGAAAGACAGCTGGCTTGTTGAGTTACAAATATTTTTGAGTTTCAAATATTGAAGAGTTTTCAGTTCAAGTTCAACTACTTCTGTAGACAGTGTGATAATACACTTTTTTATCAGCAAAGAAATTAACTAAGCATTAAAATAAATTTAAGCTTGTTACAACATGTCTGAGCACTCCAACAATACCCAAATACAGAGATCTATACTTAAATAAAAAAAAAAAACTGATGTCTACTGACTCCCTGCTCTGCCAGTACATCAGCCATTCCACTTGCATTTCTTCCAACCCAATTAAAAGTGATATTGAGTTCCCTTGAAAAGTAAGCTACTCCCTAATGTGTGTCTGTAAATCCAAGGAGCTAAATTGTTTTCTATTGTCCAAGATATGACCAGTTTTGAATCCACTTCCACTTCCAACTCTTGGAGACCAAGCTGTTTTGCTAATCTTAGTCCTTGCAGCAGTGCCATCACAGCTCAGCTCTGAGTCACCAGCTCCAATTGACCCAGAATACATAGCCACCATTGACCTTAAGTGATTCCTCTATACACCCCCTATGCCTGTCCTTCACTTTGATAATATACATTTTGATTTCTTTTTTGATGTAAAGAGGCTTTCACATATATATAGTACACGGTTCTAACTCATTAATCATGTAAACGGTAAACCCATGTATATGGGCCCAAGGCCTGTTTTCTAGTAATAATACTATCATCTCTAGTTAATTATAAACAAACATTTAACGTCAAACCAATTAGTACACACTCGTAGTGTTTTACATATCAAAAAATGGGTAAAATAAATGGGCTATGAAGACAAAGCATGATAAAAGTGAAACTACCAATAAAGTCCTCAAATAAATTACCAGAGCCTTTGTGGAACTGTATTTTCTATGCACTCTGAGACTGGTATCTAAAAGTCTGACTCTTCGACCACGAACCAATGCCTGTAACTTTACAATACCCTGGATACAGTGTAAAGTAGCAATAGCTTGTCTCCTCACCAAGTGACCGCGAACAAGTGCTTGCAGCCTTATGATGCCCCTGAGGGCCCGAAATGCCCGGCGAGCCTTCAAAAAAAGATTTAGATAGCACTTGTAAGATTATGCATGGACAAGGAATGCAAAGAAAAAATACACCCAACAGTAAGGAAGCCCAAAAGGTCTACAGTCAGTAGCATTGACATGCACATATCTATGAAACCAAATACCAGCATGTAGCATCCATATGACACATAGCTAAAGGATACTGACCGACATGTAGTAACCACACTGTAGGGCTGTCAATGGATTCTGAAGATCCAATACCCGACTCGACTCTGAATCCAATTATCTAGAAGTTGCATCTGATTAATAATCAGATTGGATGCCGTTTAACCCCAACTGAGTCTGATAAAAAAACTATTATTTTATATATGTAGTATAATTAATTATATATACACAATTATATAGAGTTTTATAACTGATAAATTTTATATTTTATATTTACATACATTTTTATGCATGTATAAGACAATTAAACTTTTTTGGTTATTTTAAACCTAATAAGTCAGATATAAACCCGATCCAAGTCAGACAAATTGGATAATTGGATTTCAGATTTGATTCAAATCCAAAGGTTCTGTAATCAGATCATATATGGATGTAGATGGATCCTATCTGAATCCGAACCGTTTACAGCCCTAGATACCACTATCCAGTAGACCGTTAGTTCACTCAAAAAGGATTAGCCTTCCCATCTGACTTATCACATTCATGTCAATGTTCAAAAGAGACTTGAGGAGCAGTCTAGGAAAAAAAAAAACCAAACATGGGGTAGTACTATCTTCCTTGGCCCAGACAATCTTGACACAATGGGGCTAACCACCCAGAATCCCTTGAATAATAATACCTTATGTTACATCATACTCTTTCATACACTCATAGCAGAGTGAAAAATAGAGAAATGCACATGGAGAAAGAATTAGTGGTCAAAATACATAACAATATTTGCAATAAACTCGCATGAACAATCATAAAAGAAAGATATAAGAGAAAAGAAACATCAATATTTTAAGCAATAGATTATTACCAAATATCCTCTAAAAGCAGCCTGTGCCTTTGTAGCAGCTTTCTCCAGCCTGATTCTTTCTGGATCATTTGGTGCATGAGATCCGCTGCTTCCATATTTATCTTGAGTTCCAGACAATGAAACATCCTCATCAAGTTGACAATTGGAAACTACCCCTTTTTCTGACTCCAAGTTTCCTCCATGTCTATCTGTGGTAGCAGGTACTGAATGTGAAACCAAGGGAGGATCCACAGTCAAACCAGCAATAGGTTCCTTAGGGGCAACCCAAGCCTCTTTATCATTTGCAGTCCTCTTCACGTGAAGATCAAAATACAGTTACAAATCACACATGCTAATAGGAGTTTTACAAAGATAAGAATAATGACAAATCAAATGCCTATCCAACAAATGAGATTAAGARACTCAAAAGAGTGAAATCAATGACAGAGATTGAGAGCCTTTAAGTTATCAACTAAAACAAATTTGGCTAACACAACTACATTTGTGTATGTCCACATGTATATATCAACTGCCAATTATCCACTCACTGCTGAATGGTCTAAAACCATGCATGGGTTAGAACCAAGGTTCTAAATATCGATACAGGCCGATACAAAGGCTGGATGGGAAACAAAGATGACATAATACTATCCACTATCAGAATTGATTAACAAGATGTATGTGAGACAAAGGCTGGATGGGAAATTCTATATTTCATGACTAGCTTGCTTCATGGACAGATTCACAATACTAGTGCAACTGCTACCTCTAAGACCAAAAATGTAACTTCCAGAGGTTTCTCAAGCAGAACAGAAAATGCATTTCACAAGTAGCAGAGAAATGTTTCCCGCTAGATCTAATACCAAGTGGTCACTAATACTGAGAAATTGTTAACTAATTTAGAAGAGACCTCTTAAACTACAGAACTAACCATTCTTACAAAAAGAACATGATTTAAAACAACAGGAAGAGAAGTAACAGTAGAAGTAGTGATAGTACTAACACTAGTATTAGTGGTAGCATTAATAGTTCATATCAAAACAACAAAGTTTTGGAGATTTGAATAGGAAATAGCAGGTCAAGCCTCACTTACCGAAATCTCTCTTCCTTTTGATAAATTAGATTTTGAAGTTTTCTTCCCAAAAAGTAGTGTCTTGATCCATTTTCCTGGAGACTTTCTCATTGCAAGAAGGTGAATATAGAAAAATCACCAACCTGACTTTCACACACTGCACAGATACATATAAATCATAAGAAATACAAATATGAAAAGAACTAAATCAAGAAAACTCCAAATTTGCATCCAAAGCTTCAATTTCTTGGTGTATGAATTCAATCATCTTCAAAACACCAATAATAGCAACAGCTAAAATGTATTCTGAGAAAAAAAAATACAAAAAGGCAGACTCCCAACAATAGAAAAAAAAAAGCATTTTGTAGTTTACCCAATTAAAAAAAATAAAGAGAAAAGATCAACAAAATTCAACAATTTGTACTAAGGGCTCAATACAACTGGATCTGCCAACCACAGTTGATGTCCAGCAAATTGTTTTTATTGACTAGAGAAAAGCAAAAGTACTTGAAAACCAGTAAAACCCACTTCTTGTATTCACCATCTACTACAATGACACGTGAGAAATATCCCAAAAAAGGACAACAAATTCGCCCACCAACGTTCTCACCTCAGTGTCACACTTGAATACAAAGGCAAAGTGAATATAAACCAAGCCTCCAAGGCAACAAAAAGAGAAATGAAAGAACCCTAAATTTGAAAGAAGAGACAAAGGAAGATCTAGATGAACTCCAAAATTATAACGGAAACCCTACCTTTACAAGGAATGTATGATCTTGGTCAACACGCTCATTAATCCATAAAAATGTGCAAAAAATGCAAAAAGAACCAAAAGTTAAAGTAAACAACAGCACAGCACACTCATAACCAATATGCTCAGAGGGCGCTAAGTTCAAACAAATGCAGTACCGAAAAACGAAAACAACAAATCGCACGAGGAAACAGAACCCAACTCCCTAATCAAACGAACAACACAAAACCAAACAAAACATTAAGGAAACCAACCTAAAACATGGTGAGATCTCATCAAACAACACAAAGCAATTCCTACAGAAGGCACAGGAAGTGTACACAATCAAAACAAAATTAAAAAAATAAAAAAGCAAAACACAAAAACTAAAGCTGAGCGCATCAGATCTGAAACTTACCGGGTAAATGTACTCCTTTCAAACCCTAACTCTACCATTCCTGCGCCACCAGAAACACATAACAAATCCAGTAAAAAATCAAAGGAAAAAAAAAAAAAAACAGTAAAGTTCAAAAAAGGAGCAAAACTCAGAGACATTGAAGATCAAAGTAAAGTAAAATGTACCATGAACAAGCATGTAATAGACGAAGAACAAAAAGAAAAAGAAGCGAAGGACCACTTCATTTTTCTTCTCCACTCTGCAGTCTGCACTTCCTCTCTCTCCTACTGACGAAGAAAACAGAAACAAAATATAAATTTCCAAAGGGCCCAGGGAAATATAACAACTTGGAGAAATAAAAAATGAAAAGGATTAAGTTGGAATAAATCACTGCTCTTGGATTCCAAATGCATTTATTTCCGCTAAATGTTTCTTCTCACGGTCTCACCTCGTCATATAAATATCTTTATATGACGTAAATACCCTCTACATCACGAGAATAGACGGAGCAACAAATTTTCTTTCCTTTGCGTCACCAATCCAAAACTGTAGTTTTGAAATAAAAAAAAAATCAAAAAAAAAAACTGTAGTTTTGAGAGAATAAAAACTCAGAGAAAACGATCTACCGTCAATCTGCTTACACAAACGAAAAATCAGAAATTTATTTTAACCATATATAGCCCCGAATGTAATGTATAATTACCTAAACACCTGGATCTGACAAAAACAATGTGGGGTCCCTAAACTTGAGACAAAGCGAAAATGTAATGATGGCCCGCATGCTGAATCATGGGAAACAAATGGAGTCGGTAAGAGTAGGACTCATCTTTTATCATGACTCTTAATTGATTCAACGGCTGATAACAGTGAAGGTGTAACAGAAGATGGGCCCCCCTTGCTTTTTACCTTCTAAGGAATTTTTAGAACGGGACCACTGAACAATCTGAACCTTCGGACATAAGAAACTTCTACGGTGTTTTTGCTTATTTACCCCAATTTCAAAAAGAAAAAAGGAACTGATTTTATTTATCTAAACGTTCGATGGGAATATTTTTTGGCTCAAAGAAAACTAGCTAAGATCTATTTAGTCGTGACTTACACGGTAACATACTAACATCACGTGTGTCGAAGGAAATTGAGATTTGAGAAGAATGCCGCTACTCTTGGATTTCTTCGCCTTGTGGCCACTGCCAAGATGAACCCTTGAAAAGAAGTTGACACGCTGTAACTTTTTATCTCGTGGGTTTCACGTGTCTATACAGCGGAGTTTTCGAGAGTTGTATGAAGTCGTTGTATAAGATATAAATACAACATACCTTCTTTAATTAAATTAGTAAAACAACCATCTGATCATCAAGGCTTGGCAGTTCCAACGTCCTTGAAACTCGGTGGACCCTCCAATACTTTTTGCATGGTTTTTAAAAACGAACCGGAAATAGAACCGGTTAGGGGATCGGTTTCCGGTTAAGCGGTTCAATCGTCCGGGTTGAACGGTTCGACCCGTGATATCATAAATAAATTAAACAAAAAAATAGCATAAAAATAAATAAAAAACAGAAAAAAAATACACTAAATACAACTATCTAAATAAAAAATAGTACTGTATCAAATACATAGAAAATATAAAAATAAAATACAGAAAATTTCTAAAAAAATCTAAAAAATACAGAAAAACACAAAAAATTAAAAAATACAGAAAAAAAAACAGAAAATTGCAAAAAAAAAATCAAATTTAATGGAAGGAACAGAGGGGTTTTGATTATTGTTCTTTTCCTTTTGCCAGGATTTCTCATATTCGTTACTCATTGATTTCTTTTTTTTTCAGAATTTACTCATTAATCTCTCATAATGGATATAACAAGCTGGATTATATTTCAACAAATTATATTGTTTTTTTAAGTGCAGAAGTTAAAAATTGCCAACAAAATTAAAATATGTAAATTAACAATTAGAGAAAAAATGACCTTTAAGTTGACATCTGATCAGATATTGGTGGGGAACCAACATCCTCGGCAATAGCAGATTTGAAATCTTCAAGTGTCCATGTTGAAGCCATATTAATCTGAAAAAAGAATTCACCATCAGACATCCGTGGTAATTGAGCATATTCTGAACTGAAGTGAAAAATAAAGAATGAAAAAATGGAAATAGAAAAAGAAGAAACAAAAGCAAGATACTTTTCCCAACTTCATTGCATCCTTTTATTTGAGTCTTGTCTTCATGATACTGTTAACATAAATAAGGAGAAAAAAAGTTAGAATAGGATTTAAAGACAGTGGGCTCACCGCCAGAGGGAAGAGCTCGGTCACAGGCAAGTTGTCGCTGCAAGCCTGTAATTGCCGCTCCAACTCGCAGACAGTGGGTTTGGTCGCCAATGCCCAATGTCGAGTGCCAAGTGCCACTGCAAACTTGTTGGGCATCCACTGCAAGCTCGTCGTTCGCCGTTCCAAGTCGGCCACCGCTGCAAGTTCTGCTCGATTACAAATTCAAGCACTGTCGGAGCAGTTCTCAGCCATAGAAGCATAACTGCACGAGTTGAAATGAAGGCATCTTTTGTGGTTATGGACACTATGGAGACCTATGGCTTTGGGCTCCGAATTCATTCCAATGACGATGATGTCAACTCATGCGACCCATGTCTTATTCCAACCGTTTGATTGGCTCCAAAATGGAAATGATGCCAAAATTGATATATAAGGAATAAAATAAATGTGATGCCTGATTTTAAATAAAAGGGGGGTGGAACCAGGAAACAGGCAAGAACACCGCTCGTTCCCAATCTGCTATGCTTTCCACAAGAAAGATTTGATAGCAAGCGTTCCAAGTTGCTCACTCTATCGTCACTGGTCTATGACTTCATTCGCCACTCTCTCTCTCTCTCGTTTTCAATGAAAAAAAAGAGGAGGGGTGAAGAAAATTGTTGTTGCTTTTGCCCCTTTTCCTTTTCAGTAGTTGAGTTTTATTTTGAAAATTTGAGATATAATGAAGGACAAATTTGTTATTTTATTTTTTTATTATGATTTAACGATGATGTCAATTGTCAAAAACAGTGGGGGTACTTTAAGACAATACTAAAACAGTAGAGGTATAGTTAGTCAATTTCCTAAACCTTAGGAAATTATAAATTTTGTGAATTTCTCATAAATTTACCCTCTGTTTTTATGCCTCCAAACACCCCCTCCCCACAAATAATTTACAATTGGAGATGAAAGAATTCTACAAAATGACCATAATACCCTATTATTTGTGAAAGTTGCTTCAGATCAAGAAAATATGTTCTACAAAGAGTAAGAGCATTTTTTAGTACTTTTGACTATATGCAAAAAAATATTCTACAAAATGATTATATGACTCATTTTGGAAAGAGTATAAATACAAATATATACAGTGCACACACATACAAAATAATACAAAATACAAAGTTTTGCATTCTACAAATTTGTATTTGTACTCTTTCCAAACTGAGTCTATGCAAAAAAGTACAAGTCACAAGTTTGCTTCAACCCTTTCATTTCTATTCTTGAATTTTTGTATATGTGTTCTTCATCACTGTTTATTTTGGGGGTTGTGTACATCTTCTTGGTGTGTTTTATTACTTGTTTTTCTTTGTTTGTCCAAATTGAACATTTTGAAGTCGAATATGCACAAATAGAACTATAGTTTATGAATTAAATTAAATTACGATACCCAAAATCTATTTAATGTTTTTTCTGCTGTCTGCGTTTTATGTTTTCATAATTCCTGTCAATGTAAAATGATACAACATTTGAAATCAAATTGTATTCTTCTGTGGGTATTCTACAAGTAGAGTATTGTCTCTTTGTTTCTATGTGTACTTGGGGAGTAAAGGAAGAACTTCTATGGTGATGGACATCGAATGGGTCCAAAACAATGGCCAATAATTTATCAGCCTGTGGGTATTCATAGTTACGTTTACAATGCTTTTCCCCTATGTATATATTGGCCAAAGTGGGTCACACTATTTCCAATTGTTCGATTGCATGGATTTCACTACAATTTCACGGAAGATGATTTGGAGTGTCTTCATGCTCTAAACATTGCTGATTGAGTCCGGATCACCTGTCAAGAAAATACGTTCCAACACCCTATCAATATCATCTTACATTGAACATCTCATGCATGGCAGGTCCTACTTCTATGGTGGATTCCAATTTCATAGTAAGATATGTGGTGTGAGATTAAGTTGGTAGGGTGTTGGAATGTATTTTATTGGCAAGTGTCAATGTCATCTTTGTCCACAAAAATGTTTGGCAAGTCCGTGAAGTGTAGGGGTGTAAACGGACCGAATTCGAATCGGATTAGACAATATCTGAATTCGAATTCGATTAGAAAATCCGATATCCAAATTCGATTCGATATCTGACGAATATTGAAAATTAATATCCGAATTTGAATCTGATTAAATATTCGAATATTCGATTCGATTCGAATTTGATTAATTAATTATTTTAGATAATTAATAAATATATTAAATAGATATTTTATTGATGTAAAGTATATAAATATATAAATCATTTGTATAACTTAATTATTATATAAAATATTTTATATATTATATATAAGAATTAAATAATCGGTCGAATTTGGATATTTATCGAATCGAATAAGGTCATATCCGAATTCGAATCCAACTAACTATTCGGTAAGAATAGGATATCCAAATCCGACCGATTAGATATTTGAATTATCCGAATTCAATTCGATTATGTTAAATAGAATCAAATTTGAAATCGAATTTTCGAATACCGTCGACACCCCTAGTAGGGAGACTTTTGTGACTTAGGATGCCCAATTCTGAAATTCAAAACAATAGAAAGCATAGGCTAGGGTTGTCAATGGATCAATTCTATCCGATCCAACTTATGATTTTAAGATTTTGTCCCAATTAATAATTGAGCCGGCTATAATTCTTGTTTATTCAGAACCAATTCCGATCTGCACTGATTATTTTGTTAATTATATATAAAGGTCTCCTAGTTTTATTATAATTGTTATTATATTTTGTGCCTTAAAGGGCATATTTGATAAATAATATATATTATTAATATATAAGACCATTTTAGTTAAAAGCACTTGATTTATTAATATATAGTATTTTTTTCATTCAAATGAAAATTTTCTTTTTTTTTGAAAATCTTTTCTTTTATTATTTGACTTGTGAGGTTGATGTTTTATATAGGAGTAGGAGAAATGGAAAATGATGAAAGAATATTTGGCCCGACCTTGTAACCACTCAACACGTGGCAAAGGTAACAGCTCGGCACAA